CCCCAAAACCCCAAAACCCCAAAACCCCAAAACCCCTATTAGAATATTATGGAATGAATATGCCAATTATAATTTATCATCCTCTGATTCGTTGACCAGCTCATTAAGAATTTTGACTCCTTGTTCTTGCCAGACTTTGGCCCTTGATTTTGTCGGGATGAAGTTCAATAAGATTTTTAGCTATGGGTTAAGATAAAAAAATGTACCTGATGAGCCTTTTGAATATAGCTCTTAATTCTGAATGACTGAGACACGTTGTAAGGGGTCATATTCCTGAATGTTTTCATTGTAGGGTTTGCGTTATAAGCTAAATTTGATAAGATTAATGAATACCAAGTAATATCTTCACTCATTTTACATGGCCATATTTTGCAGCAAGGAAGAGAGGGGTTCTCTTTCCAATATCACAGATATTTACAAAAGCTCCTTTTTGGAGTAAATCTAGTGTATTAGAGAGGATCTTACACTCAAGAATTTCAGGATGATTTCTTTTAGCAGCCCAATGTAGAGGTGTCTGTTTGACATTTCACTATAAGATTAAGTATAGTAATTACATGAATGTACATCAAATATCGATCTTTGGCTACAAGTTTCTTCATCATCTCTAAGTTGCCTTCTTTGACAGCTCTGATCATCATTCTGCTTCCAGGTCTACTATAAGCCTCAAATGGGAAAATTATCCCATCCATGATTTCTTTTGGTGTGACCTTCATTCTTTTTAGGTTTGAAGCGGCCTCAATAATAGCATTAACAAGTAAGGCCTTTTTACGTTTATATTGCTTTGCACGCTCTTCATTGATTCTCTCCTCATTTTTATTTTTCATCTTCCTAAAGTTCATAAAGCATGGAAGATACCTCAATACGGCTATGCATTTCACTCTCAAATCTCTCGGCTTCCTCTTTGTACTTGGAATGATCGTCCAGGATCTCATAGAGATCTTGTCCTAGGGACTTCATGTGTCCATGCTTGAATTCTGGAAGCTTTAGCTTATGTTTGTCTTTTCTGAGCTTTCGTTTGTCAACTGATTTAAATTTTCTGCCAACTCCTCCAATCTTGCTTTCAGTGATGGCGAATCTTTCCAAGGAATTCATAATATCACTGAAAATTTCGGAATGAGAAGCATTCCCATTATTTTCTGGGTAATTTATTATGTACTCCTGGTCATCAGATATCGTGTCTGAGAAGCTTGAGTCATGATGCTGCTTATTTTTGTTGAATCTGGCTCCTAATGTCCTTGATAAGTACATCCTTTTTAAACCCTTCAAGGAGTTTATCAATGTCCTTATTCTTATTAGTCACTGTTTCAGTTCTTTTAATGCTCTATCAGATAATTCTCACCGACTTACGTTCTGTATAGCCTGTAGAGTTGGTATCATATTTTTAGCTTTTGGCTTAGATCTTTTCCGACTCTTTGCCTCTTCAATTTTGCCTAACCCAGTCACTTTGAGTTTTCTCTGCGTGAGTGCTTTCCTAGTAGTATAAAAATATGTTGCTTACTTATATTTCGAGTAATTATAGTTGTGGGCTAAGAAATTCTTGGATCTTTTCATTGTGCTGGTAGTGCTATATTATAGCTAAAAGCTGTTTACTAAACCCCAACTCCAACTGTGCGGACAGCTGCCATCTTCTCACTAGGATATTGCCAGAAATTTACTGAAATATAGTCTTTGGGAGGTATTTTGGTATAGTTAATACCTATTTCGAAACTTGAGGGCTCATGAACCACTTTTAAGAATTTGTCAATAAAATTTGGACTTGGGTCAATTCTTACTCTAGGTTGAGCCCTGCGAGGAGAGGTTTTGGGGTAGGCTTCTTCGTCTTGATGTTGTGCTGGATTTGAAGCTTATTTTTGTAACAGAGATTCCTGCTTCGTGAATTTAGAAGTGTAGTGGATTTTTAAAGGCAGCTGAAGATGCTGGTCTGAACTCGCACGGCTGGTGGGTTAGAGAGGAAGGTACTTGTGAGTGGGGAAAGAAGTGATGGATTTGAGATTTTGAGGAAAATTAGGGATTTGAGGGATTTTGTAGGTGCTGAGAGAGGTAGGACTGATGATTGTTCTGTGGAAAGGGCTAGAACCCGTTGTTTTATTGATTTCTAAGGGTTAGAAAGTGAGTACTGAGGTTTATCCAGCCACTGGATCTTGTTTTAGAGAATTCTTGGTGCTTTTGGTTATTTTCTTTTAAGCACTTCTTTTACCCTAAATGAAATGGTTTATATTTTAAGTAGATAAATATTACCAAGGGTTTGATATCGAATGTATGTCTGTTGACCGTCTCACAGCTGCTGATATCCTTTTCTCGCTATTATTCAAAGGAAGGATAATCTTCCTACTATTTTTCAGATCAACTAAACCTAAAATGACTCCATAGTCCACCACGTACCCAAACTATCAAAATTTGCTTTAACTCCCTCAAACATCTCTTCTTTACCCCTTTCCTACCTGTCGAACCACTTTTGCTCTTATACATTTTATTATTCTATAACTAGCACTGAAATTGGGGTTTTGGGGTTTTGGGGTTTTGGGGG